ATATAAACAACAACACAAGACCGTAGAAAATACAACACAAGATTACATAAAAACATAGAGATCCTACCACCCTTCCCCCTAACAATACACACATACACACAAAAACAAAAAATATATTGCCAAAAGGCAATACGACGGAAAATAAATTGAGATGGAGGAAAGTCCATCTCTATCCGTGAAGAAAAAGAAGAGCCGCGGAGCTCAGGTGCGGAGAGTTAATCCAGTCCTTCAATAGCCTATTGGCCTATTCATTTGTCTGCCATTAACCACAACTTTGCTAACTAGTTGGGGGTTAACTTACATTACAGTATAGCCTGCATCAAAATCCTAATGAGGGTGTGTGCGACTATGAGTCAGTGTATGTGCGGGCATGCGTGTGTGTCAGTGTAAATGATTGTGTGTGTATGTGCGCGTGTGCGCGTGCGGTGGGGGCGTAGGCCAACTCACAGTCTTGTGGTAATGTCACATCCCAAATAAATCAGGTCTCTTTTCTTTTAGAACTTTCTCAGCTTCTTTGAATATGAAAGTCTACTCGTTGATGGTTACGATCAGTCTGGCAGGGTACAGGATGCCGTGCCGTAAGTTTTCTTTGCGCAGTATGCTACGGAGCTCTCTGTATGAATCCCGCTGGCGCTGTATCTCCATTGGGAAATCCTGAAACATGCGAAGATCATGTCCGTCCCATGTCAGCTTTCCTTTAGCAGACGCCAGCGTCTTAAACACCTCGTTCTTATCGCTCCATCTGAGAAAACGTATGATGATATGCCGCGGAGGGTGCCCAGGGTCCGGGATGGGACGCAGAGCGCGGTGGGCACGCTCTATCTCAGGTGCGGGGATTGTGTCACTCAGCTTCAGGAAGTGTCGGAGAATTTTATCCAGTAGTGGGGAGATGCCACCGGCTTCTTTACCCTCGGGGATGCCGGCTAGGATGAGATTATTTCTCCGACTTCTAGCTTCCAGATCCAGCATTTTACCCTGGAGGGCTTTGACTTCTTTGGACAGATCAATCATTGTCTTCCCTTGGGAATTGGCTTGATGATCCTCTATCTCGCTAATACGCTTCTCTGCGTTGTTTATTCCTTGATAAGTGGCCTTAGAGTCTTTCTTCAACTGAACAATAGCCTTGTCCAGATTGTCAAACCTTACGTTACAGGTTTCTTTAACGCTTTGTATTTCAGAAAGCAATTGACTAGCCCACTTGGGGACGTGTTCCTCTTCACCAAACATTTCCGCCACGAGGCCGCTGTCTTTCTTTGCTCTAGCTCTGGTCAAACTACTTTTAGACGCAGATGTTTTTACACACTAATAGAACTGACTGCGCATTACACTTTGAGACTTTCAGTTTTGGTTAAATCATATAAGTCTGATTACCGCCGGTGTTCCGGATTAACTTGTTTCCCGATCAACTTGTTTCCCGATCAACTCGTTTCCGTGCGGTGCGTGGCTTTCGACTGAAATACACATTTCCATCACTTTCTTCTGTCGTTTACATACATCTTTTGGTATATTTGGCTTCTTAGGAACACGTTGATGCACATCCAGTACCAGTGTGTGAGGTTGTGATTACGATGGCGATATCCGGACGCGAACAGCGAGGACTACAACAAGACAAACGAGTTGCTCGAATAAATCATTTAAACCAGCTATTGTTGCCAGACTTATTACGGAATATCGTTGTTAATGTCCAAGTCCATCTGTGTATACCTTCAGACAGCCTCCAAGTGAAGCACATGGTGTTTACTCACAGTTTGAAAGCAGCGTGGAGAAGTCTTCATCTGTGTTAAACTGTGATCCTCCCAGGGAACTGGGACCCGCCCAGGTTAAAATGTGACCCGCCCAGGTTAAATTGTGTTACGATTTCTGTGGCTATCTACCAGCGATCATGTTTAATATGAAAGACTACCCACATATGTATCCCTTATAAAAACGGTATTGTGCAGCACTCATCCAGATAAGATGTGACTGTTACCTCGTTTTGCAAAGATAGCAGCAGAAATGTCATTGGGGATATTTAGACTTTAAAATGCTGCTTGGTCATGAATGTTGGTGTCGGCAAACAATATTACGAATCCTCTATTCAAACATAATTTTCAATGTGCATCGACATGAAAATAACAAAAAAGTTCATGCTGGACTCAAACCCGAGTCCCAACAGTAAAAATCAATCATGCCCTGCGCTTTATGAGTGCGCCACGAAACATCACGTCCTAACAGATCACCACAGCTCATTTTGTTACATTAACATTGTCAACAAGTTCTAGAAAAATGCAACCCGACATCATATTGATAATAATATATGATACAAATGTAAGACTGACAACAATAATAGTTAGTAAAGGATTTATTGATGTGAATGTTTTGAACAGTGAATACTTATTGTAAATCACTTTGGATAAAAGCGTCAGCTAAATGCAATGTAATGTGATGTAACAGGCATCAACACAGCGACTTGATTTATTGTTCTCTGGTGATCAGTTAGGACGTGTTGAATGGAGAAGTCTTCATCTGTGTTAAACCGATCCTCCCAGGGAACTGGGACCTGCCCAGGTTAAACTGTGACCCGCCCAGGTCAAACTGTTACGATTTCTGTGTTAAGTGTTCACTGTTCAAAACATTCACGTCAATAAATCCTTTACAAACTATTATTGTTGTCAGTCTTACATTTGTATCATATATTATTATCAATATGATGTCGGGTTGCATTTTTCTAGAACTTGTTGACAATGTTAATGTAACAAAATGAGCTGTGGTGATCTGTTAGGACGTGATGTTTCGTGGCGCACTCATAACGCGCAGGGCATGATTGATTTTTACTGTTGGGACTCGGGTTTGGGTCCAGCATGAACTTTTTTGTTATTTTCATGTCGATGCACATTGAATATTATGTTTGAATAGAGGATTCGTAATATTGTTTGCCGACACCAACATTCACGACCAAGCAGCATTTTAAAGTCTAAATATCCCCAATGACATTTCTGCTGCTATCTTTGCAAAACGAGGTAACAGTCACATCTTATCTGGATGAGTGCTGCACAATACCGTTTTTATAAGGGATACATGTGTGGGTAGTCTTTCATATTAAACATGATCGCTGGTAGATAGCCACAGAAATCGTAACACAATTTAACCTGGGCGGGTCACATTTTAACCTGGGCGGGTCACATTTTAACCTGGGCGAGTCCCAGTTCCCTGGGAGGATCACAGTTTAACACAGATGAAGACTTCTCCACGCTGCTTTCAAACTGTGAGTAAACACCGTGTGCTTCACTTGGAGGCTGTCTGAAGGTATACACAGATGGACTTGGACATTAACAACGGTATTCCGTAATAAGTCTGGCAACAATAGCTGGTTTAAATGATTTATTCGAGAAACTCGTTTGTCTTGTTGTAGTCCTCGCTGTTCGCGTCCGGATATCGCCATCGTAATCACAACCTCACACACTGGTACTGGATGTGCATCAACGTGTTCCTAAGAAGCCAAATATACCAAACGACAGAAGAAAGTGATGGAAATGTGTATTTCAGTCGAAAGCCACGCACCCCACGGAAACGAGTTGATCGGGAAACAAGTTGATCGGGAAACAAGTTAATCCGGAACACCTGCACCCGACTACTCCGCTCAGCTCGCCGGTGTCATCACGTGATCCAAAGCGTTTTGTCTAACCCCAGCTTTTATTGAAAGTTAATTATTCAAAATGTTAAAGTGCCTTATTTTTAAACTGAAACTTGCACTACTGTTCAAAATAAATAAAAAACAAACCTGGAATTATGGATTTGGGACTTTTTTTTGTTGCTTTTTCTTGTTGTACCGAACCCGTACCCAACCGTGACCCCCAAACCGAGGTACGTACCGAACCGTGAATTCTGTGAACCGTTACACCCCCAGTAACAACTTAAATGAAGGCTTCTGTGTCTTCAGATTTTCGTTCGTCTTATAATGTTGAAACTAGCTGTATATATACAATTGAAAATATATTTTGGTCCTCATAAAATCTGTAAATCAATGTTGATGTGTTGATGGCAACTTGTTTCTAATTATCACAAGTTAAATGTTATTATTCAACATTGTTTTGATTCAAATGAGTATGGTGACTACCCAGGATGGGGTGCCCACAACTGTTGACCCCAATATGTTAACTCAACAACTACTACAACTACTGCAGCTACTTTATAGTAACTCAATGTAAAAAGAACAAGCAATAAGTGAATAAAAGTATTAAATCACTGTTTGTCAACGTCAGCTCTGTTGTTTCTGTCGCTTGTTAAATTGTATGATGGTGTCTTTATCATTCTACTTACATCAAACATTGGGATCAAATTAACTTCATGCGTACTATTTGACAAATAAAATATAAAAAAAATATGACCAAATATATATTTTTCTTTTATTACATATGTATGAGAAACAAAAATGTGCATAAAAGTACATAGGTTCGGTAGATACAGGTGAGGTTAAGAGTGATCTTTACACAGAACATAACAGATGATTTTGGGTCGTTGAATGCAGTTTAGTTTGATGTTCATTCAGTGTTGTACGAGTTGAATGGGTTGATGATTGTTTTCAGTAGCTGTGAGCATCTGCCGTGTGTGGTTAGAATAGTGTGCTCTTCCTCTACCTGTGTTCTGTTGCCTTTCCGGTCACCTATGACCTTATTTATACCCCTGTGCAGCTAACCCACACCACCAAGTGTTCAAAAATAATATAGCATTATAAAACTAAACAAAATAATATAACATGCCAACAATAAACTTAAACGGCTCCTATAATTTGTATTACCTTTTTTAAATGTTCTTTTAAATAAGGTATAGGTTCAATAAGATTGGCTTATCCCTGCTCCTTTCCATTATGGGCTACACAAAATGTGTACATGTTTTGTTTTATAATAATTGCCATGAGTGGAATTAACTAATAAATAAATAGATGGATAGATAGATAGATAGATAGATATATTTATATCTCATATCATTATACATTTTAAGAAAGACACACATTCTAGATCCATGTTTTCAATTCATGAAGTTTATTGAGTAGTTACTCCAGAAAATAAGTGAAATGACCCACATGTTTGATTGACCTGGAATGATTAGGACTGTATCATTTACTGTAGGAGATGATTCTGAGTACAACATCACACACTGAAAAAAACAGAGCTGATCAAACATCTAATAATTACTGGGTATCATTCACTTATATATAGGTGACATTTCAGTTCCCACTAAGTAGCCGCAGCAGTAGTTGTATGAGTGAGGCAATATTGGGGGTTGTGATTGCGCTGGTGGTGCTCTGCAAGAAAATCAGAAACATTCAGATTCAAATGTGTAGGAATTCTTCAGTATTTGACATATAGGTGTGTTGAATGTTGAATTAGAGAAGTTAAAGAAAGCACTCACCTCTCCTGAATTTGACTCAGATGAGCTTGAACGAGCAAGTCGTTTATGCTCCATGTCATTCTGGAAAATAAATTTACAAGTTGCAAATTTGAAACTGACTGTTATCGGATACGAATCATAAATGATATTGAGAATGGACATATTAAACTCACAGGACGAGCCAGAGCCAGGCTCAGGAGGCATCCAAGCACAAGAGCTAGCTTCAGCATGGTTACAGTGATCACACTGTCAAATGGAACAAATCAAGACTGATGCATTTACTACAAAATTGGCAAAATCACCACCAGCCTCACATATAAAGTACAGAAAGATAAGATATATTTACCTTCAAATCTTTGCACCTTCAGCAGTTTATCTCACAGAGAGTCGAGGAGGTTTTTGAGTTGCTATGAATGTTGAGCTTTCCTTATATACAGTACAGTAACAGGAGTGCATGTCATCCCATTACCAAACAGCAAGGTTGGGAAATTGTTATTTCTACCACCACATTTGAAGGTGTTGCTAATGATCAAAGATTGAAAACACTCCTAGATTTATGATAAGTTGCATTAATTTAATAGCTCAGATCTGAATGAACATACATATATCAAATGGATTTGTTTTCATAATCAGCAAACATTGTATATTAACACTGTTATCTAGGTTTAGTAGGTTTACACTACACCCTTCTGTGTTGGCCAATCAGACAGAGATGTAATCAAGTAAATGTCATGCATGGACTCTCTACTTGTGAGACTACCTGAGCCAGCTTTGTACATCATATAATACAAACATTTCACCACTGTCTACAGCATGTAAAACATTTCTGGAGGTATCTGAAGAGGATGAGAATGATATGTGTGAATGCTAAGACAACAGCGTGTATTCCTGGAGACAGTTTGGTTGGAAAACATAATAGGATACATTGTTTTGTGACTCTAAAAATGAATTTAATTCAAAGGCTTATCAGAGAGTGGAAGAACACTGGAGGCAATGGGATAAATTAGATGAATTGCTGACTATTTTGATATTTGTTGGCAAGAGATAGGTTACAAATATTAAACATATTTCGAACAGAATTGCATTGCTCTCTTTTTGTTATTGGGCTAAACCCCAGCTGACTTGTGACAGCTTTCTTGCAAAACACATTTCATCACATAGATACAGTCTATCCATCTAAATCCATGAATGACTTCAGAGAAACTCTCCAACAAAGGATGACTGGACTGCAATTGTTAACTAAATGAACTGCATGTGGAATTTTACCTTCACATTATAATATGATGGATTCTATTACATACTCTTTGAATAACCCCTTTTGTGCCCATGGCAACACCTTGGTTTGGGGTTATTTGACACATGTTAATCTATATTTACATCTCATTATTGTAATTTGTAGTAAGTATGTTTGAAGATCAGGCGTGGCGTGTTTCCTAATGCCCCCCGGGTCTGTACTCAAGTCGTCACTCATGTGTAGCTTTGAATGAACAGTCAAAAGGAGTTCTCATTGGCAACATGACACTTTTTTTCAGGGTCTTTCAAAGACACGTGTAATGGGTAATATAATATTGTGTTAAGGGACATTTCTGCAAGCAATTTGTTTTATTAACAATTGCATTCAATCCTTTTTTGTAAGTGTTTTTCTGCAGCTATTCAGTGTGAAAGCTTGTCAAATGTCATTTATGAAAAAGATATTCATCCTGAGTCACGAAAAGGCTGGGGTTGTGCCCAATGCAAAACAACAAGTATTGCATTTCTGCTTCGTTATATAATAATTGCCATGAGTGGAATAACTAGATAGATGTCATTATACATTTTAAGAAAGTCACATGCTAGATCCATGTTTTCAATTCATAAAGTTTATTGAGTAGTTACACCAGAAAATAAAGTGAAATGACCCACATGTTTGATTGACCTGGAATGATTAGGACTGTATCATTTACTGTAGGAGATGATTCTGAGTACAACATCACACACTGAAAAAAACAGAGCTGATCAAACATCTGTAATAATTACTGGGTATCATTCACTTATATATCATTTTGCTGCAGCTATTTCAGTGTGACAGCTTTTCAAATGTGTTTTTATTATAAACAGACATTCATCCTGAGTCACAAAAAGGCTGGGGTTTTGCCCAATGTAAAAAAAAAAGAAAAGATAATTCAATTTTTATTATTAATGTTCTTTTCAGCCGTGTCTTGCCGAAACATATGCAGAAGGGATTCAACGCAGGAGATTACATTTACAGATTTCATTGCATTTGTTTTCTTAATTTTTCAACACTAGACTAATTAGATTAACTATAATCATTTATGATATGAGGTATTACATGAATGCAACACACCATCATACGGTGTTTGGTTTCCATCTCTGATCCACACCTTGAAATGTGGAGGAGGGAGATTTCCTAATATTTGCAGTTTTCCAACATTGTTGTTACCTTGCTAATGAGAGGACACCCACTCCTGTACCTGTATATATGCAAAGCTCAACACTCAGAGAAACTCAAAAACCTCCTCGACTCTCTACGAGACAATCTTCTGAAGTTGTGAAGAATTGAAGGTAATTATATATTTTCCTTCTATTCTTCTAAGTGGGAATTTGCTCATATTTTAGAAAACCTGCATCACTCTTTATTTCTTCCTTCTAACAGATCATCACTGTAACCATGCTGAAGCTAGCTCTTGTTCTTGGATGCCTCCTGAGCCTGGCTCTGGCTCAGCCTGTAAGTGTAACATTTTCAAACTTAATATCAGTACTTTTCTTCTCATACCGTGATAAAAGTATTTGAATTGTTATAGAAAAATGAAGGCAGTATCATAATTGTGGCTTTCCCTACAGATGGACACCGAGCACAAAATACTTGCTCGCTCAAGCTCTGGCTCTGACTCTGACTCTGACTCTGACTCAAATTCAAATGAGGTGACTGTTTTCTCTATCCTCTGAAGTTCAACAAACACTTGATTGTGAAATGATATACAATTCCCTAGCTACTCCTCTGCTTTATTTGACAATGACTCTCTGATTTTCTTGCAGAACAACAACAACAACAACAACAACCAGCAGGCCATTAACACCCAGTTGATTCAGATGATCCTTGAGCTGTTAAACCGGCTAGCGACCACTGCAGCTACAACTATTGCTGCTCCTACTACCCCAGTGCAGGGGCGGACTGGGACTACAATTCAGCCCTGGAAACTGACCCAGTCCGGCCACATGAAATGTCAAATGTTAGAAATCCGCTGTTTATTATTTAAAGTTTTACGTCCGATACGCTCCTTTGTTCCTCTCTGTACACAGCTCCAGTTTGGGCATTGGCCTGTCATCAGATTTCATTTTTAGTTGCTGCTGTAGCGGAAGTTTAGTACAATTATTTTTGATGAAATACTCCAAATCTCCACCCTCCACAATTGCACTTGCTTCAGTTGCTTGCTACTTTTAAGGGCGGTGATACAGTACGAACTGAAGTTGATGCGATTTGATTGGATTGTGAGGCATGACGTGAGCCTCATCTGATTGGTCAATCCCTCAATTTTTTTCACCAAGGGAAGCCCATTTCGGCTGGCCTCCTCTGGCAACAGAGAGTGCAATATACTGTTTCACCATAACATCTAGAGGGGCGCTGTTTCACTCTTTGTAAAATACTCAATGAGAATGGGGGAGAGACGGGCCGGCAGAATAATTACCGAAACTAAACTAAGTGTTTTTATTTATTTATTAATATTATAACTATAATCCAAAAAACAGGGGAAGCCTGGCTTCCCTTGGCCTCCAGGAGAAAACGCCACTGAGTTCAGGGGATAATTCTCACCCACCTCTTGCTCTTGCCCTGCACGTGTGCCAGTTGAGCTGGTTCTTCCACCAGCTCAACTCTGTCCCTCATCATGAACGCAGGAGGCTGGCTGTATATCTGAACTCGCACCCTCATCATTCTCTTCATCATCTTGCATTTGTTCTAAGCTGCTGCTGATAGTGCTTGTAGCTGCCAAAAAGGTCTGTCAATTTGCGACATTTATATGCTTCACCTGCGAGTGACTTCACCTTTTTTTCTCTTGCCTTCTCGGCCCACCTTTTTCTTTTCGTTTTCTTTGATTTGTATCCATGTTTTTTCATTCTCCCTGTCTGCCGCAGCGTCTAATCCCTTCTCTTCGGCCCATTCCCAAACCGCCCCCTACACCCTACCCCTACACCCTACCCCTCCGTTTGCGCGTTCACGCGGAGGGTCCGCCATATTGAGGGCTGTTCCAAAGCAACGAGTGTGGAGGGGGAGTGGGCTATCAAGCCCTCAAACAGCGAGTCTGCAGCGGTGCTGACTTGAGACCGGTCTCTACCTGACCGGAGTCACGCTGTGTGTGTCCGTCAGGAAACACGCTGTTTACAAGTAGTTCCAGCAAACATCCACTGATAAACTGCGATGTTAACAACCTCATGATAACCTCATATGTTTTTAATTTAGGATCATACCTGTGTTTAGTCTAGAAAAAGGTAAATGTGTGCATTTTATTATAAAGTTGTGTATATTTACAGACCGTTGCAAAAACTAAGAAGCTTATAAACATCAGGTTTAAAACTAAAAGAGCTTTGAAACACAATGAAAGATGTTTGGAGTTTTATTTGAGTTATTCATTTAAACTTTTTGTCAAAGAGATGCTGATTTGAAACCGTTGTTACATACAGTTACGGCATTTCCTGTTTCTGCCGGAGAGAGGGGAGGCCGTCCCAAAGCTTGCTGCTGTATTTACTCCCTCCGTCTGACAGGAGGGAGCCTCGTTGAGCTGCGAGTGTGGCTACAGACAGAGTTCACTCCATCACGGAGGGGTAGTGTCGAGGGAGTGGTTTGGGATTGGGCCTTAGTGTGGCCGGTCTTTTTTCTTCTTCGTGTGTTATTATTTGACAGATAAGAACCACACAACTGCATTAGCGGCCGCTGTCGCCCTCTGTCGGCCGTCAGCGCAACTTAATAGATGACGTTAAACAATTTTTCTTTAAAGGGCCGGCCGGCCGTCAACGGCTCTTCACGACCGGCCGTTCTGTGGTTCTCCAGATTCTACAGATGGCCAGTCCGCCCCTGCCCCAGTGGTCACTACCCCTCCGGTAGTGGTCACTACCCCTCCGGCAGTACCCCTCCGGTAGTGGTCACTACCCTCCGGTAGTGACCACTGTTCCATAAGAACACTGAGTTGGATGGAAAACCATGTCATTTGTTGTGTAAATGTGCGATGAAAATGTTTGTTTACACAATTTCCCTACTTCCTTGAATTGCATTTATTCTCTGTAGTTTCTACAAAATAAACTTCAACGTAAACAATATACCAGACATATTCGCTTTTCTTAAAACATAATGTGTATGATTAACTGTGTATGTGTGCATCATAAACATAATTATAGATGGATAGATTGTTACTCACAGTTTTTTGGGGAGATGGAAGCTGTGGAGGACCTTAGGGATCTTTCAGCAACATA